GTAATAAGAGTGAATAGTACAATTGAAAGGATATTTTAGAAACGTTGCCTGGATACAAGTTTTCCTGCTAAACATCGGAGTATGCAGGGAAGCTACATTTACAGGGACCAAAAGAGCGTACAGTACGATACCTGATTACAAATGATTATTCTTACAAGAAATTTTCATCTGAAAATTATTTATGAATTATTTTAAAAACACGACGTTATTGTTACGAAAGGAACAAAGCAAATACATGCTTAAGAGTCTTTTCTGTTCAAGAGATTAGAGTAAAGATAAACTTATTTTAAATGTTTTCCTCGGGGCTTTAATATTGAGAGTTTATTAGGATTTTCCATTGAGGGAAGGATACAAACAAAAATAACTGAAAGTATAGCGATAAAAACATTCAAAATAGTACAATAAATAAAAGAGTTTGAATAGATACTGTTTACAGGAAAAGAAGGAAATGTAACATAAATTTCTCATAATGTGATTTCAACTAATGCTTTTTACTAAATTATTTAAATTTGCATATTTTTGTTCTTTCTATACAATTCATTAAAATTTTTATAAATATTTTATACATAAATGAAGCGTTTTAAGTAAAATTTTTAAATATTTAAAAATTATATAAAACGTTGTAATTTATACTAAGATTTAAACTCACATGATTTAAATACGATCCACACGCTAAATACTTTACAAGTTCGTTTAAAGATAAAATATTCTATTATTTAATTTAGGAAAGATAAATTTCTTAAAAGAAACTATATTTTACTTATAACTTTAACTAAAATTTAAGAATTTGGAATGGATTAAAAACTTCAAAAGAGGATTATCTTTTACCATTCTCTAGTAGACTTAGACGGGGCTTACCTTTGAATGTTAGGAACAGTTAGAAAACCTTCTATACGTGAAAGAGGAGAGCGGTCCACAGTTGGACCTTCTCCGTCCACTCCACTATTGAAATGACTAGGAACACAAAAGACTCTTCTCGACGAGCCGATGAAATACTCTGAGATCAATATGTGCCTACATGCAGTCTGAGTAGGAGATAAAGAGTTTGCGCTGACTGAACCCGCATATTGATTTTTTACAGATTTTTTTCTTACGTCAAAGATACTTTTCTTCACTATAACACTTCCTGTATCATTGTCACCCCGAAGCTATATCAAAATGCTCAAATATTACTTAGTTCTAAGCTTGCCAAAGCTAACGACAACGATGCTCAATTCTACTTGAATTTTTGTTAAAATATTTAAAATTTTAATTAAAAAAAGTCAAAAATTTTATTTGTAACCGTAACTAAAATACGAATTAAATAATTAAATTTATTACTTATTAAATATTTTTAATTCTAATTAATCATTAATTCGCCTTATCGGTTATATAATGGCTATCTTATCTTTATTATCCCTTGTGGTATTCATTAACTACCCGATAATGACTACTACTACTTCAACTAAATAGCTGCTAAATATAACTATAACAAGTAATTACTTGTTATACTTGCTCGCCCTTTAATTCACTCGAAATAATGCGATATTTATTATAAATTTTTCCATTATACACCATTATTTCACGCTTTATATTATTAATTTCTGAATAAAATATTCCAGAAAAAGTATAAATTTAATCCCGCATGAAATGAAGTATAAATTACTTAATTAAGTATTTTTTTTCCAGGTAAATTATGATTGATTTTTTACCTCACAATTGGAAACTCAACCAAGTATGAAATGGTGCAGTCTATTAAGGTTTGCTGCTCTGATTCAATAAAGGATTCTTCAACTGCCTGAAATCGCACATACTTAATTAGAAGTGAAATATAATATTCTCAATTAAAATAAATAAATAAAAAGTCTGATAATAATGCAAAATTCCACGTTAATTTATCGGGACATAAATAATATGTTAACAATTGATAACAAAGGGCATTTGCAGTTGAAGTTAATTAACTTTATAGATATAGTTGAGATATAATGATGTTGTTACGTCGTTGAATTAATTAACTAAGTTCCAAAATATGATTTGTAAATGAAATTTATGAACTAACGCTAATATATTTAATTTTATACAGATATTATGTACACTTAATCAACAGAAACTTATAATATGTTAATATTTTACAATATACCTGTGCTTTGTTTACTTAATATATTTAAATATTTATATATTTTACACGGAAAATAATAAATAATTTATTAATTTTATTTATTTACTCACCGAAATACTTTTTAATTTAAGTTTACAGTCCAACCTTCAACGACGATCACCTGTAAATAGCGGCCATCTCCACAGAAATTTTTAAAAACCAAACAAAACCTCCAAACAACGACCAATTTTCGTGTTTCCTTCGCTGGTCGTTGTTCACAGGTTTGATTATTTAATTTAAAATTAATTAATATATCAATAAGATGTTCATTCGTAATTGAATAATTTCAAAATGTAAATAATATAACTTAAATTTCTACAAAATGAATTAAAAATTTTGATATTTTATAGAAATTATTAAAATATTTGAATTAAAATCTAATTAAAAATATAAAATTATATTTTAACATTAATAAATTATTATGATTCGAAATTAATTTAGATTTATTTTATTTAAAATATTTTTTTTCACTTTATTAATTTATTAAAAATTTTAAACAGAAATTGTTTTTGCTGTTTAAAAAATTTATTTAATATAAAACATGAACAGGAAATAATCAATTGAAAGAAAAATTCATTTTTTTAGTACCCATTTTTCTTTTAAAGTTATCAATAAGTGTTTTTTATGGATAACTTGTTTTCAGAGCTTATCTACGATTCTCAAAGTCTGTATTAGTTCATATTGCACAGAGAACAAAACATCCGAGAAGATTTATGGAGTTTTTTTTATACTCTAGAAAGATTTATTGAAAAATTTTTCACCTTTCCTCGGTTTCTATAAGAAAAAAATCCAGCAACGAGTTGCGTAACTTTCCCGGCAAAAGAAGTTAAAATCGCGTGTAGATCCATCTGTTACGAAATTTTATTTTAATAACTTTTTATATTATTAATTACACTAAAATAGCACAAGGCTTAATTTTTAAGACGGATAAGAGTTTTATATAATATTTTAAACGATATTAACGAGTAAAATCGTCTAAACTTACTGGAGACACGACACGTGACACCACTCTAGCTCCTCACCCTCTCGACCTTTAACCACCAAAATTTAAGAGCATAAATCACCCTAATACACAAACATCCATGCAAAATTTCAGAATTTTTTTACCAACGGCACATGAGTTATTAAGCTTTAAATTGGGTTAACAAAATAGTGTTTCCACACACATATACAGAAAAAACAATCTCAAATTTTTTTGATGTTTCGAAATCCTCAGAGTCTAAAAATATAATAATTTTGAGAGGAGGGCCATTTTTTTGACCAATCGCCATACTTTTACAGCCGAGAAAGTAAAAATGATCTCTATTTCGTTTTATTTTCAGAATTTTTTTTATTAATTCGAGATTTTAACAGACAGAATTAGTAATTTGCATTCCTTTTATCATTCAGTTTGCGATCGAAGTGAATATCAATTGACTTTCTATAGCATAATATGTGATAAAGCTATTAATAGTTAAGCGATTCAGTGACTTATCTCAATGATTTTGATTCTTTCGAGCAGCGTGACTCAGTTTTTTTAAGAAAAAGTCATTGATTCTTAAATTAAAACGTTTATTTCAGGGTTATAAACTGTAAAAATGTTAATATTTTAGCTAATTTATTAATTTTTTTAGTAAAATTTTCAAAGTTTAAATATTTTAAGTTATTTTTTAAGCCGAAAAAGTCGCATTCTCCTGTATAATGCGCAACAAATAATTTATTTTTTAAAAAATTTATTATACCGTTTTATTCTTTTTAATTTAATATTGATGTTATAATATTTATAATCGAACAAAATATCGATAAATTCGATTTTGATATATTTTTAAACAAGGTAAAAAGTACAATTTTGTTGATTAAATAAATTATAAGCAGTTTTTTCTTTCAGGAAAATAGGGCATAAATTTTTATTTAATTCGATCAGAACGTCGAGGAAATAATTGAAAAACTTCACCGAAAATGTAGAAAAATGTAGTCTTTTTTTTTATACTAAAATATTTATAAAATAGCCAACGTTGCAGAAATAAGTTTCTTTTGGGACGAAATCTTCCATTACTAAATAAGCGTGAAATATTTAGCCTCGTATCCTTAAGTTAAAACATTTCATTTTCTTCCATAAAATGCAAGACGTGGAAATTATTTATTGCTATTCTGTGCAATAATAAAATAAACCAGCAGCGAGTTGCTCAACTTTCCCGGAAACATTTCAAATTTTGGTGGTGCCATCTGTTACCATATTTTATTAAAAACGCTTTTTATAATTTTAACTATTATAAAATGGCAAAAAGCTTGATTTTGAAGGTAGGGATGGGATTTATAAAAAATTGTAAATGATAATAACCAGTAAAATCATCATTAAGTCCGACCGTACTGAAGATTCACACGACCTTCGTTATCCCCCACCCCCTAAACTTTTAATCACCAAAATTTAATAGCATAAGTCCCACTAATAAACAAACCTTCCTGCAAAATTTCAGAAATTTTCGATAAAAGTTATTAAGTTTAAAACAGGGTGAACAAAATCGTGCCCCCACACAATATTAAATATCCATATATACAGAAATTATCCCCGATTCTTTTTTACATTTCTCGACGTTTCAAGGTGTTCCGAGTCCAAAAATATGAAAATCTTGAGGGTCATTTTTTGACCAATCGCCATACTTTTCCTCTGTTATATATAACAGCCAGGAAAGTAATTCGATTTTTTCTCGCATCTTTAAGTGCAATGAGAGAAAGATAAGGAAGGAAGAAAATATGGAGTTGAGATCAAAAGTTAGAAAATTTTGTATGAGTCAATTCAAAGACTCGAGTATTGAATTTTACTGTGTTTTCTTTTTTTTTTCGTCTTCTTCACATCACTCTTTAATGTTTTTTCTTTCTCTTTTCAAGCTCTTGGATCTTTTTTCTTCCATCCACTCTCGTCTCCTTCCTCCTTTACCAAAGTAAACCATACTTTGTACTGATGCTCGCAGGACTTAACTAAGGGGAAAAAATTAGGCAAACATAAACTAAACACAAATAAAGCGCGAGGAATGTTTTACTTTTGTTCGTCTTTAGTTTATACCGAGCTATTGTGGCGTTAGACTATATTAAAGATAAATTACCTATTGTAAGAAGGCAATTTATCTTAATTCCAACATTTTATGAATAAACTGTAATAAATTATAAACATTTTAAATATATATATTTTAAAAAAAATTCTATAGTTAAAGATGAAAAATTTGGTTTAGGCATCTTGCCATTATAGCTGAATAATTATAAAAAATTATTTGATAATAATTAACTCCAATTCGCGTTATCGCCCTTCTTTATAGCGTTAGTTTAAGCACTGTTCGTGTTATCATCGCTCGTCGGAAGTTATAATTTATTAATATTTTATGGTGCGTGAGTATCAAATTAAAATAATAAAAGTAATAATTACAGCCGGCCCAATTTTAATCATATTTTAATTTTAAAAATCTCGGTAACTTTCAATTTCAAACAGAAATTTGTATATAATTAATCGCGCGGCCTCTGCCCATAAGCTTCCCATATCTGGTCTCGATTTCCATCCATTTAGCTCACCATACCTGGTCTCGAATTCTATTCATTTAGCTTCCATATCTGGTCTCGATTTCCATCTATTTAGCTTCTCATATCTGGTCTCGATTTCCATCCATTTAGCTTTCCATATCTGGTCTCGAATTCCATTCATTTAGCTTCCATATCTGGTCTCGATTTCCATCCATTTAGCTTCCATATCTGGTCTCGAATTCCATTCATTTAGCTTCCATATCTGGTCTCGATTTCCATCCATTTAGCTTCCATATCTGGTCTCGAATTCCATTCATTTAGCTTCCATATCTGGTCTCGATTTCCATCCATTTAGCTTCCATATCTGGTCTCGAATTCCATTCATTTAGCTTCCATATCTGGTCTCGATTTCCATCCATTTAGCTTCCATATCTGGTCTCGAATTCCATTCATTTAGCTTCCATATCTGGTCTCGATTTCCATCCATTTAGCTTCCATATCTGGTCTCGAATTCCATTCATTTAGCTTCCATATCTGGTCTCGATTTCCATCCATTTAGCTTCCATATCTGGTCTCGAATTCCATTCATTTAGCTTCCATATCTGGTCTCGATTTCCATCCATTTAGCTTCCATATCTGGTCTCGAATTCCATTCATTTAGCTTCCATATCTGGTCTCGATTTCCATCCATTTAGCTTCCATATCTGGTCTCGAATTCCATTCATTTAGCTTCCATATCTGGTCTCGATTTCCATCCATTTAGCTTCCATATCTGGTCTCGAATTCCATTCATTTAGCTTCCATATCTGGTCTCGATTTCCATCCATTTAGCTTCCATATCTGGTCTCGAATTCCATTCATTTAGCTTCCATATCTGGTCTCGATTTCCATCCATTTAGCTTCCATATCTGGTCTCGAATTCCATTCATTTAGCTTCCATATCTGGTCTCGATTTCCATCCATTTAGCTTCCATATCTGGTCTCGAATTCCATTCATTTAGCTTCCATATCTGGTCTCGATTTCCATCCATTTAGCTTCCATATCTGGTCTCGAATTCCATTCATTTAGCTTCCCATATCTGGTCTCGATTTTCATCCATCTAATTCCGTTCTCTTAACGACGAACGGGCGACAGTGGAATGTATAGAACTGCAGTTTGAATTGCAGCCCAATTAAATAACGAAAAGAAAATGAAAAATAAAAATTCAAATCGAAACAAACAAAAAATAAAATAAATTAATTATTAAAAAAACGTTAAAAGATAGGCTGGAAGTAAAATCCCGAGAGATTTAAACTCAACAAACACGGTTTAAAAAAAAAAACCTTTATTTTTCTTAACTTAGATAAAATTTTTGCTCCAACAGTTCCTTTTATATAAAAACATCCCCATCTTTTCACTAGATTTATACACATTAAAATTAAAAAATAATTCAAATAATCAAACTTATTAAGGAAGCAAACACGAGTTTTAAATTTGATCCGATTTATAACGATTTTTTAGCTTAAAAATTTTAAAAATCTCATATTTTTTTATATTGTTAAAGGGAGAAAAAGTACATATCGATCGAAGTCACTGTCAAAGGAAAAGTTCGCTTTCGAGAGCAATTGCACATCTGTTGAAGATGGAGATGGATTGAAAACACCCACATTTAAGTAAAAATATTTAAAAATATCATATTTTAATATAGTTTAACACGTTTTAAAACATGTCTTTTATAAATTCAAGCCATAAATGTCATTTAAAATTAAAATAATAATAATAATAATATACATAAATTAAGTAGCAGTAACTGTCAATCAAAATGGTGTTTTAAGTCGAGTAGCGGCGTATAATTAGATTACTTCTTTTTAATTTGTTAATGTAGAGCAATTTATAAAATAGCATTTGTTAAATTTATTTTTTAATTCGTTAAAAAATTTCCCAAAGGGGAAAAAATCGTAAATTTAATTGGGAGTTAACCTTTAATATATATAAAGAAATGTTTCTTTAATCTGATTGATGGGTTTGGAAAACAGAAAAAACGTAACAAAAAAGGGGTGGAATATGGAAAAGAAGTAAAGTTCCTTGTGTAAGAATTAAATACCTTACAAGACAGCACATTTGTCATTTATTTTATAAAGTTTAATGTATAGAATATATATTATATAAGGGATAATCGAAATTAAGGTGTTCAGAGCTCGCTGTAGATAAATCTATTGGCACAATATCGATCAAATTTGTTACACTTACTCTCCTGAAGTAGGCGGTTTCGATTTCAGAGGGGGAAATGCTACTACAAATCTCGGCCGCTAGGGCGAAATTGGCGCTGCTATTGGCATCAAGTAAAGTCTATTTTAAACTTATTTAATTTACAATATATGCTCGCGATCTGGAATTAGTAGTGTCTTTCCCCTGTATATCATACTTTTCCTGGTAACAACATTCAGTCGTCTACATAACTCTGTTCTGAGGAAATTTTTGAATTTAAATCACGTGACTTCCGGTCTAAACCGAACGTTCGTATATAGTTAATCGGGGCCTCCTACAACTAAACCTTCCATATCCGTTCTCGAGTTTCATCTATCTAACCTCATTCTCAAGATTAAGAAAGAACAAACAGACAGGCACACGGACGACACTGGGAATTGACAAGTCTACAAGTTCTTTAAATTGAAATAATGTGACTTCTGATGCATACTGGAAATCATGTTATATATAGTTAATCGGGGCCTCCTACAACTAAACCTTCCATATCCGTTCTCGAGTTTCATCTATCTAACCTCATTCTCAAGATTAAGAAAGAACAAACAGACAGACACACGGACGACACTGGGAATTGACAAGTCTACAAGTTCTTTAAATTGCAGCAGAATTTTAAGGTGCTTTTAAGCATAATAATCTTGTTTTTAATACGAAATTAAATTGAAAATGGATAAATAATATATTTAGTTTCTAAATATTTAAAAATTTAATTTAATTAATTAATTTAGAGCCAAATGTAGGAAGAAGAAAAATTTTATTTTATTTTTTTGTAATTTTCGTTTTAATTTTTTAAAACTTCACATAACAATTGCCTACTTTATAATTATTTATTAGAATGTATGCGCTTTATATATAGGGTNTAAATAATACTTCAGTTAAATATTTACACTCAAATTTATTTAAAACTTACTTTAGATATAAACATATAATTTTATTGTGTCGATAATTTTTTGGGCTGCTATTTGAAAAAAATTGTAGACCTATATAAATTTCCACGGTCGTAAATCTGTCTGTCTGTCCTTCCGTAATCTCGAGAACCGAGTCAGATAGATAAAAGTCAATAATGGATATAAGAGGCATAGGAGCATGAGGCCCCGATTAACTATACATGTATCACGTGACTTCCATTACAAACCGGAAGTCACGTGATTTTAATTTAAAATTTTCCCCACAATGGATTTACACAGATGACCAGCATGACTCCGTTATTATCAGGAAAAGTATGATGTACAGGGGAAGCACTACTAATTTGAAATCGAGAACATATATTTTAAATTAAATAAATTAAAAATATGATTAAAAATTGAATTCTGCAGGCATTGTGATGATGTCACAATAAATAATTGCTCATTTATATATATAAAATTATAAAATGACAAATAAACTTTCTTTATTTTTCTTTAGAATATAATATAAATTATTATTGGAAAAAACGGAGCAATTAATTATTGTGACATCGTCACAATGCCGGGCTGTAATTTTTATTTGCAGATTTCGCTCCTGTACGTCATACTTTTCTTGTTAACGACAGAATCATGCTAGTTATTTATATGACTCTATCTGGAGAAAATTTTTGAAATGAAATAACGTGACTTCCGGTCTAAACCGGAAATTTCTATATAGTTATCCGGAATCTCCGGTTCCCAAGATTTCCATTTCTGGTCTCGAAATTCATCTATCTAACTCCGTTATCGAGATTAAGGAAGAACAGACAAACATACAGACAGATGCCAGTGGAAATTTATAGGCCTTCAACTTTAAAATTGCAAAAATTTCAATTATTATTAAAATTAATAGAATAAATTAAAGTACAGTTTTATTATTTAAAAAAAATTCAAAAATTATATTATTTTCCTTACTAATCAGCACTTTTTTCTGCTATTTTTTTATTTAATTTCGTTCAATTTATAAATAACATTTTAACGTATAATGCGCATAATCAAGAAAAATAATATATTGATTTGATTATCGAGTAATCATCAAAGTTTAATATTATTCGTGTGAAGTTTAAATATAATTAAAGAATTTTTAATATAACAAATTTTCAATTTGAGATCAATATGTCAATATTGATATTTCAATCAATATAACCCTTAGACTATTATTATAAGTTCTTTTTTAGTGTTTTTAATTTGACAATAATTTGTTGGACGTAAATTAGTAACTCTTCTATAATATTTTATAAATTGATATCAAAATTTTATTTGTTTGAAGAAGGTAGAAG